CCACCCCCGGCGTTGTCATCATTGGTGGGACCACCCCTAGTGTTGTTGTTTTTAGCGAGGCCACCCCCAGCATTCTGGTCAACGGGAGGATCATCGACATTGATGTATTCATCCACGTCTGAATCGCTACCTGCTTGATTAGCATTGTTGCGACGACTAGATTCACCTATCAGATTTGACAAGGCTCGGATCTGTTGGTTTTACGTTTGTCTCATCTCCTGCACAACCATCTCCATTTCGATTTTGAATGCTTCTTTCTGCTTGGCTAAAGCATCCTCAACCATTTTGGCTACTTCCTCGGTGTTGATCATAAACACCTCATGAGATTGTCCGGGACTGGATACAGTGGCTTCTCGTCTGACGTTTTATTGTCCGAGGATAGTCCTCTGGTCATCCTCAAATAGTCTCTACGTCTAGTAGTCCCTGCACGTAGCCGAGTTAGACGATGTGATACGAGGGGGTCCGAATTAGAAGGTCGGGTCGATTTTCCCTTATCAGCCACGTTGGCGATGACTATGGATTGTTCAAGCCCGACAGCTTCTAATTGAAGTCGAGACATTAGTTGGGCTATCCCCGAATTGACTCTCTTTCCTGGGGAGAAACCAAGGTTAGAAGTAATCGGAGACTTCCCCTTATCGACCATATTGATGGTGAATGATGGGAGTTCGTCATCTCGATTGGTTGATCGCCTCTTGCTAAAACGCCTTGATTTGGGTTTTAATGCTTTTGCGGAGACACTCTCGAATATCGAGACCCTCTGTGGAGCGGTCTTGGGGCAGCTACACGCTGATAATACTGCCCTGATAATTTTGTTACACGGACAGTGAGAGTCCGCTTCTCGGGTACTTCTCTTTCGAGATTTGTTCGTACCCCCAGCCCGATAGTACAACTCATCGACGTTGCAGTCAGAGCAACCTATCGGCTGTTTACATGAATTCTCAGGTATAACACGTTCGTTTGTCTGACGCATTTTCATCTGAGTAAACATCGCCTTGTTGGCGTCTACAAGAGTCACACGCTTGGAATCACACTTCTGTGAGGGTGAAACCTTAACAGGCTCCTGGTTTTCTGCACGCACCCCCAAGCGGGCCGTTGTAGAAATTAATTTGTTAGGAGGTCGCGTACAACCCCCAGTCCGGATGTTTGCTCGAAGCTCCTTTAACGGTCTCAAGCTTTCCTTAATAAGCGCTTTTCCTCGATTCTCGGGTAGGTCACCGACACGATCCTTCAATGGGACTCTAGATTTAGGGAGATCCACGCTGTCATAGAGCTTCACCGGAAGTGCGGGAGCAATAGGAGTGGGATCTGGAGTTGACAAAGGCCGGAGAGCAGCCTCGGATGCTTTTTCCTTGGGCGCTGACTTGGCCTTTGTCATCCAGACTTGCTTAGATCTCGGTGGTTTTTTTACCACCTTTTCCTTCTGCAATTCCTGTGCCTTCCGTACAAGACTCCTCGTCTGTGCTAACAGTGCGTAGCGCTTATGGATACGCTCCTCAAGAGTTGAACGGGTTCGTTTGACACGAACTCATTCGTTAGTAGGTGGTTGGGAGGAGGTTCCCAAAGCTTGCTGCTGGAACACTTTGCGCCTTCTGAGTTTCAGATCCGCATCATAGCAGATCTCGTCAACAGGTTTCAAAGCATTGGCAAACTGACGCGCGAGATGTTGACGGCGCCTTTGACGAGACCTCTTCGTCAACACTGGTGCACTTTCAACGGGCAACTCCTTGACTTTCGAGGAGTTATCACGAACTTTGGATCTGGTTTCTTTGGAAGCCGGAGAGGAATCTTCCACTACATTCGGGTTCAGATCATCAGCATTGGTTTTTGGATCTGAAGTCACGTTCTTTGCGGCAGTGGTTTTCCTGCGTTTGCAAGAAGAAGATCTGGAGGAGGAGGAGGAAATATATTCCTCGAATTTCTGCTGGTCGAATTCGTATTCGACCTCTTCGAGCACCGGGATCTTGATCGTCGGCTACGACACGACAGCTTCGGCAGCGAAGCTGTTGGCTCCCACTGTGTTCGCCAGTTTGTTTTCGCTGAAAGTTGCTTTCATTGTCGAATTCATTATAATATTGATTGCTTACAAAGAATTCAAAAATATTCAATAAAAGAGAATAAAAAATGAAAGGGTTACAACTCTCTCGAAAATAACGCAAGATCAGTTCGTCGTTTCTTGCTTGCGTGGGTCTTTAGCCGGTGACGGGGATGTCAATATCCGTGGACTACCTGACAATCAGATCAGATCCAGAACTCCGTCGATTCGCGAAGGAATCTACGAGCAGAAGCGCTTATCTCGACAACAGCGAGATAATTGCTCTTCTTAGGATTACCGCAACGGGATAATCCTAAGGAACGGATGCGGGTGATGCAGATTTGATGAATCTCAATCTTTTTCGTTGAAGAACTCGATCACTCTTCAGTCCGGCAGGGCTTCGCCAATTCTCCAAAATTCCAGATCCGGAAAAATGAGGGTCTGAGGCTTGTATTTATAGGCTTGAGGGGGTTCCGGGCGGTTAAAACCGCGTAACGGACAGATCTGGGGTTAGAGACACCCTTGGGTGTCTCAACCTGGGCCGAGACACCCTTGGGTGTCTCGCTCGTGCCGTGACACCTCGGGTGCCCCAGTTCAGCCTGAGACGCTCCATTATGCCTGTTCGTCCGTTTCCGCCGCAACTTCTTCATCCGAACTCGGATTTGAGCGTTTTAAAGTGCGTTGGAAAGCCGACGAGGAGTTCTATAAGCTCCAATAATTATATCATCAGTTGAACAAGTGAGACACGAAGGGTATTTCGCCGTTTGTGAACGATACGAGGTTCCCGATCAGTTCGTGTCTTTGTTATTCTGAAATTCTGTTGGTTTACGTAGTTCGTCGATTCACTTCAAGCGTTCACCGACATCAATCAAACTTCTGTGAACCAGATAGTGACGTTCATCGTCGTTTCTTAACACTGAGCTGTTCGTGGAGACCTATAGGCAATTTTCGATGCCTACACACATATCTTGTCAATTATCTTGTGCATGCAGTAAAAACATATAAACACACATTTCAAGCAATACACAAATAACATTGAAACTCATGAATTAGATTGATAAACTTTCACAAAACCTAATAACCAATGCATTGAGATACATAGAATCCCTGTCAGTTTATAAGCTTTATGGTGCGCATAGTTGTCATAAACAAAAAATATATGTATAAAAAACTGCATTGTCTTACATTCAAAGAAACCAAAACATATCAACATGTACTTCTTCACTCTAGCACTTAAGAAACATTTTGTGAAGTAGCTATGATTGTAGGTTGGGTTTGACTAGGTCCTCTTCTATATGCCATTTCACCATTCTCTCCTTGCCATTATTCAAAACCTTTAGAGGGGTTATTGGTTGGTGTAATTTCAGGGCAAGTGGGATAATTTTTGGGACTTTACTTTATGATGTTATTCATTGGGATAATGTGATTGAGATTTCACTTTAAGATGTTATTCATTGGGATAATGAAATTGACACAATTAGCCACATTTCCCCCAAAATTATCCCACTTCTATATAAAGTTTTTGCCTCAACCTCCAAAAATTACCCTATTCTTAACTTTAGGACAATCACGAGGAAAGTGGGATAATTTTGAAGTACTAACTTATTAAATATATATATTAATTGTAATATAATATATAATATATCTTAATTATATTATATTATAAAATTCTATTATAACATAAGATAATAAAATATCATATAATATTATCTAATATAACATTATTATATATCATTATTACATATTGATTAATAATAATTCATATATTATAATATTGATTAATAATAATTCATATATTATAATATTGATTAATAATAATTCATATATTATAATATTAGTACTATATTTTTATAATATTACTTTATATTATTAATATATATTTTATTAGTTAGAATAAAAATATTATTGTAGTGTTTTTATGATATAAAAATTGTATTATAATATAGTGTTTATATATTTAATATAATAATATATTAAATTTATTATAATATAATTTATTTAGTAATTATTATAAAATAAAATATTATATTGAATAAAATAAAATAAAATAATATTTGATTAAATATTACATTATTAAAATATTATATTAAATATATTATTTGTATATTATATAATATATCATATTATTATAACATATTGTATTATATTAATCAATACCATTAAATATAGTAATAATTAATTAGTAATTATAATATATTATATTATATTATATTTTAGTATAAAGTAAAATAATGTGTTATATTATATAACATACCAAATAATATACTAAACCAATTAGGTATATTAATTTAGATTTAATTGATAGATAAATATTATACTTTAATAAGGTGTTATATCATCAATTTTCTCATATGAATTGTCAAAGCAAAGCTCTAAATTGTCCAATTATCCTAAATTATCCCACTTTACACCACTCAAAATATCCCAAAGGGATAAAATTATTCCATTGAAACAATTATCCCACTTAGTCCCAACTTGTCCCAACCAATAACCCCCCTTAGGGATAATTAGTTGAGTGATTCTAGCCAAGGTTTTAAATATCGGCCAACATGTCTGACATGTCGGCCGACATATCGGTTTGAGGGCTTGACCGACACGATATGAACGTTTTTAACTCGTATGTCGGTTTTCAGGGCCAAATCGGAAATATCAAGGTCATATCGAGCATATCGGCCTATTTTTTAGCTTTAAAAAATCGGTCGATATGGTACTTTTTTTAAGATCTGTTTTTTGTTATCGGTTTGTGTTTAGTGATAAATACGCAAACCCGTATAACCCGTTCTCATGTTTAAGGGTTTCTTATGAATGAACCCGATAGAAAGAATTTATGAACCCAAATCCATATATTATTTACTTTTTTATATGTTTAGTCTATAGAATTTATAAAGTATGCTTATATTGAATTTATAAATGCTTAGATTACATTTAGGACATGATATTATTATAGAATTTATAAAGTATGCTTATATTGAATTTATAAATGCTTAGATTACATTTAGGACATGATATTATGTATATGTGCAATACCCGATATGACAATCCGATATTTAGTCAATGCCCCCCGATATATCCCCGATTTCCGCTATCCGACATGGATTTTAGCCATCCGACATGAACCCGATATCCGACATTTAAAACCTTGATTCTAGCCCTGCCTCTACCCTTCCCCCTACTCCTACCTATGACATGTGGTCCACCTTCAACTCTATTACCTCTACCTATAGATATTCCCCTTCCTTCAACCCTCTTTATTACTAATGAAGTTGTTGTGGGAGAATTGTTCCTTGCTAATTCTTCACTAGATTGCCCAATTACGTTCTTGCTTCCTTTATGCCAACCAAATTTTCTCCTTTGAGTTGATGGTGGTCCTTCGGTTATTTGTTCATTTGTTACCTGAGATATCAATTGCAAGCAATTAATGATTCAAGAACAAAATAAAATAATTTACGTAAAATTTTCAAACTCAAACATCTTACTTGCATGGCAAGTGGGAATGGATAAGGATAAATTCTTCTTGTGTGTTCAGTAAATCTGCAATTAGAGCACTTGTGGGAAACTCTTGCTCTTGATATCGTATTGATGTTACTTATGCCCTCATTAGGATCCCTCCTCTTTGCTATTTTAGGCCTACCAAGCTTCATGTTTGACTATGTTAGGAGACAAAATCATGCCCTCACCTTCCATATTTCAAAACCTATTACCTTCAAAATGGGTTCAACAAACCACAATACAACATCATACAGTTTTCTATGGTATAAAAATCTGACAAATATCTTTTAGGGCGCTTTCTCATAAATAACTAGTAGCAATAACATGATAATATGGTAGCCTTGTCAAATCCCACATCCTACATTTATAAATTCCATTGGCTAAATTAACATCACAACTAGAATCTCACCCATTATGTTTCACTTCAAAACCGTGTTGATTATCTTGCCCATTCCAGTGAACTTCAAGGTGTGTCTGCTCATTTTTTTAAGAATCCTAGGAGCTACTCCACCATCAACTTTTTCCCTGAGCTTAACTTTCTTTTGCATCTATCCATGAGAGCCGATCTAATATATTCTAGTATTAAAGTTATAGGCTTGTATCTTGCAAGAAAAATAAATGAATTGAAAGTCTTTGACATGTTATTGTCCACTACATCACATAATAATTTGTGAAAGCTTTTTTAATTCTCAATTTCAGTGCAACTTCACTCACAGTTGTCATTTTGACACATTTCCAGTACTGCCTTTGAAGTGCTTTTCTAGTGTGTATCTTCCTTCAATTGGAGTAAGTATGTCTAGCACATTGCCTATGTTCAATTTTAGGTCATACTTCATGAACTGCTGGAACTAAATCCTGAAAATAAAATACAAATTAGAATAGATATTATGAATAAATAGTACTAATTGAGCTCAAAACTAAATTACATGTTCACCTTTTGTTGATCAGATATGATAGTCCAATTCTTTTCATGACCCATAACAAAATAGACACTTAATATTCTCAAAAACCACAACCATGATGACTTTGTGTCTCCCTCAACAATTGTCCACGCAATAGGAAACATTTAGTTGTTGCTATTCTCTCCCAACTGCACACAATAATTGTCCCCCACAAGCAGTTTAAGAAAGCAACCATCAATGCCAAATATATGTCTACAATTTGAAGCAAAATCTGACTTCATGACATTAAAACACACAGAATCTAAGGAATAAGGCTAGTTGGCTAGTTGACCCTCCTCTCCTTCTGTTAACTTCCATACACATGTAGTGTCAGAATTAAATCTCATAAACTCTCTAATATATGGCTTCAATGAACCATATTGCCTCTTCATCAACCCTTAATTTAATACTTTTTCTTTAACTCTCTGGCATTTCTTTAAGCACGTATTGATTTTATGTTGTTTGTAAATTTCCTCTTTCATATCACTAAGGCTTCCACTTTGGATTCCTCAAAATTTGTTCTAGGTAGCTAGCCAATTCACAGTGATTAATCTATTTTTGAAAGTATCACAAGTGTGTTGATCTTGCATGCATTTGATTTGCCTAGCTCTATCATCCTCCCGATCAGGTTCTACATTGAATTTTAAATAGCATAAGGAGCGTGATATTTAAATCTGTGTATTGTCATTTTTCATATAAACCAAATTATAACATTTTTATATTGAGTAGTTTAGAATTGCCTCTTTCAGTATTTTTCTAGAGGTAAATTTCATCCCAGTCACAAAGTGCATGGAAATCATGTCATTATCTTCATTGAAATACTTGCAATATGTTTTCTTCATTCTTTTTCTCATATGCAATTTCCCTTCATCTTCACTATCATCTAATGCACTCTCATCATCAGTTTCCCTTTGATCAGATTGATATCCTCCTTCAAATGAGTCCAAGCTCTTAGCCATTTATTCTTTTGTGTAATAGTTCCTCTTCATCTTAGCTCCCATATGTTCAACCCCTCTTCATTAACTTGTGTTGGTGTGATAGGATAAATTCGGAAGACTCAACAAGCTCATTAGGTGCTTGGCTAGTTTCTGATAGGTTAGGATCAACAATTATTGAATTAGAGTTAGAAATATTATCTCTATTAGCATCAATAGGAATTTTTCTATTTTTAGCACTCAAAAGTCTTTGATTTCTCTATCTACATTCATATAGCTCATCGCTGTCATGTTCAAAGCATCTCTAACTTGCCTATCATTTGATTCAATAGAATTTTCACTTTCATAACCATCCCGTACATTCACATTGTTCTGTGCATCAACATTTTCAGTCATATTTACATTTGACTTAACTTTGACTTCTACATTGTTTTCAGGATTACCACACAATTCAGGAATTGTTTCATATACTTTGGTCTTTCTGTTAACATTAACTTGACCTCTAAACTTATCAAATAAGCCCAAATCATCAAAATTATCATTTTAAGCCCTTAATTAGGTCAATCTTATTTGTTTTATCATCTGCCTCATCGTCACTTTCACTATATAATTCATTTGCCTCAGAAGCTGGTTTAACATGTAGTGGTTTAGGAGACTGAGTTGTTGTTTGGCAAGTGGATGAGGTACGTAGACATATTTAAAACTGGATTGACATGTGGTGCACTAGGAGATTGAGTCGTTGTTTAGCAATTGGATGTGGTAGACATATTCCTCCTAGGTGCTAATTTTTTTCTTTAACACCACTTTCTTATACTTCGTAGGAGTTCTGTGAATGATATTTTTATTTTCTAAAGGTGGTGGTTTACAAACACCCTCCAATGGAATGTCCACCTCTGATGGTGTTAAAAGATGATGATCAACAAAAATATCTACCATTATGTGTTTTGAGCTTCCTTAATTCAACTTTCTTAGCCACTGCCTGATAAAGCATAATGCAAGAATAGGAATAACACATTGCAATATTCATAATTTTTCACAAAATTCACAAGAAAAAGGATAGAGAATGCATTTTTTCTATGAACTCTACATTCAATTTTCCTCCAAAATATTCAATAGATCCCCCTGCTCCAAATATTAACTGACCATCATGTCTAAATTTTACCATAATGTACCCATTTATCTACATAAAATAAATAAAAAATTCAACTTTCCACCAAAATAAACCAACACTAAACCCAACAAATAGTTAAGACTTAATTAAAAAAACCCCTTATTTTACTCTGACTTTCAATAATACTACTAATTTATACATATATGCCCTAATTTTCATAATAATGCTCTCAATAAAACCCTAACTTTCAATTAATTGTGTTCAAAAGCCACAACCTTTATAAAAGAAATACCTATTAAAACCCTGAAAAGAAAATTTGAGCTTACCTTTGAGGACAACGAGAAGATGTGATTCTTCAGTTCTCAAACTTTGCCACCACCTACTCCTCTAGAGCCACAGTGAATCTCTGCCACCACCCACGAGATTCCTCACTCTCATTCATTCA